CAGGACTCCTCCCTCTCTTTTACTCTCCACATCTAGTCAACCACAAACTTAAATTGATTCAATCTTCCATTATCCCTGAAAACCATCCACTGTTTTATCACTACTGTTACCACCCCAATCCATCATTAGCTGTAGCCTAAGGTATATTGCAAAAACACCCAAATACTTTTCATCCTTTCCACAATATTCCCCATTCAGCAAGACTGATCTTTCTTAACTGCCAATCTGATCATGTCCTGCCCCCATTTAATCCTTTTAATTTATTTCCATTGTCATTATAATCAAGTCCTACTCTTTAGCTTGATTTATAAGGCTCACCTCAATCATCTCTCCAATCACTTTCTCCTCAGAATGTAATGCTTCAGTAATGTTGGCCTTTTCTCATCAAAGATAAAATGTCCTCTCTCACTTTTTTGGCCTCCAAACACATTCTGTTTCAGCTCTCAGTATAGACAATACTTCCTAAGGAAGGTCTCTTATCATTGGTGTATATGAAGTCTTAAATGCTATGTAGCATTTAAATTATAACTGTTATTACGAAGTTCTCATTAAAACAGTTATCTACTAGAGTTACATATTTAATGTTTAGCATAGTAGACTATATGCTACGAGACAATGAAACATCTCTCTTGTCACTGTTATGTTTTAATGCCTTGCATAGTTCCTGGTTCATTTTAACCACTCAGTAAGCATTTATTGATAAGCAGGAGGGAAGAAAGAGAGGAGGGAGAAAAAGAACAAATAATAGTCAGTCTTGGGTGAATTACAAGAAAGGAAAAAACCAGGAAATTTGTTTAATAACATACTTCAGACTTTAAAAAGTATTTACACATTCATTTCACATTTGTTTCTTATAACAACACTGGGAGGAAGTATTATTATGTACTTTTTACAGTGAGAAAGCGGGCTAATGAAAGAGGTAGTATGGCTCATCATGTTTTTTCTTCCACCTAAAATCTCATTTCCTTAATTTTATCCACTTTCCATTCCTTGAGATATAGCTGAAATATCACCTGCTCCTTAGCATGTCTCCTTTTCTCGTCACAGCATTAATAGTATAATTTTCTTCATCTTCTGTAATCCCACTGCATGCTTTATGTGCTAATGATTCTTAGCACAATGTTCTCTACATTGTACCTATTTTTGTGTTTCATTTCAACCTCTAAAAAAGTAAAATCTTTAAAGAAAGAATCCTAATCATCCTGATATTAATCACCACAGGATCTAGCACAGAGTAGATGATCAATAAAAATATGTTAAATGGAGGCCATCTCTAAGATCTAGTCCAATCTTTTCGATCTACTATAATGAAAAAGCCAATTCAGTAAGTTATTTCAGATTATCCAAAGGCCACACAATAGCGTGCTACTCCTTGCTTCTTTTTGTCTCCTTCTTCCAACATCCCCATGCATGGAATATGAGAGGAACAGTAAACTTGGACTTATGTGGTTTCTAGCTGGTGCTGATACTTACTAGTTACGTAAATACTCCCAGCCTCAGTTTCTGCAGAGGTGAAGATACAGTTCCCAGTTGTCTTGCAATGCCAGTTCCTAGCAGTGTCTACCACATAGCAATGAACACTCTTAAGAAATATTAATGATTTATGAGTCTTGGACACTGTTAAGAAATATTAATAAGTTATGACCATCAGAAACCTGATGCTACAGAGCCCTAACCACAATCCTTAAGAAGTCTAATATGTAAATAAAATAGGAGTGAACTAAAACAGGCAGAAAACTTCTGAATCTTCCAGCTTCTCCAGTGAAGATGAAGCTCTTCACTGGAGCTTCATCCTTAGCTCCAATGAAGCTAGAATGAAATTCAGCTTCATTCTAGAAGCTGAATCTTCCAGCTGCTAGATGTCTCCTCAAGGCACAACAGCCTTGAGTTGCCACACATTTATATAATGGTTTGCCGGTTGTATCTCATGTTGATTGGCTTTCTATAACTAATTAACTACCGGTCTATGCTAAGACTTGAAGGCCTTGGTACCTGTTACAGCCTCCTATAAGAGGTGAAGAAGAATGTTTGTTCACCCTGAAAAGGTGAAAAAAGGGTGTTTTCCATATATATATGTAAATACACATATATATACACACATACATACATGTATGTATACATATATATATATATATATATATATATATATATATAATATCCAGGAAATTTCAGATTTTTAGTGTTTATCCTGAAGTAGGAATTTTTCCATGACTTATTTGGAATATCAAAGGAGGTAATACCCAAGGAAAGTATTACAAACTTTTTTTGTTATAGTGTTTGCCTTGGTTTTGGGAAAGCTAGAATTAGAAAGACACTGGAGAAGACACTATAAATTTGAGATCTACAAGGTATTTTTCAGGTTTGAGTTAGGCCATTGCTGAGATTCCTAAATTAGGATAGACTCCTTGGAGCCAATAAAATCTAATATTCTGAGAGCCCATAGCCACTTCTTTATCAAACCCTGGGAATATTTATGATAATGGCTGCTGGGAGATAGGTTCAGGTGTAGGTAACCGACTCAAAGCATAAAAGAAACTCCTAGACACAGAGCACCAAGGTGGAAAAAAGGATGTTCAAAATACAACAGTAGCAAGGAGAATAACAATTATGATTTGCACAGATTAGTCAATAAAAATTCTAAACATAAAATTCCCTTTTGGAACAGATCTTTTATAGCATATTCATCCTGTATCCCAATATCTAGAACAGTGCATAGCACATGAAGGTGCTCAATGAAGTCCTATGAAGTTAAAAAAAATCTAAACATCTGGCTTGAGGACAGGAAACTCTGAAGCAATGAAAGTTGCTTTGTATCCAAGTTCTGGGGATGGCAAGGTAAAAAATAGGAGATATTACATATACAAACAATGTGATGTGTTATGGTACCTTATGCCTAAGTGGCCTAATAAACTACAACAAACTCATTTCTGAAACTTTAGGCTTGTTCAGACCATTAGAGGAATCCAATGACTGGACAATGGCTGCTGCTGAGTGCCTGCCAATATTGTGTAAGAGCACCAACTTAATTCTAAAGCATCATAATCCAAATGCAAGGACCCATTATTTCAAAATCTTGTCAAGAGCCCTAGCAGAGAAGACACAACACAGTTCATGAGAAAAAAGAAGCAAAGTGAAATAATTAAGGCTTATACATCATTCAAAACACAAAAAAGAACTCCAGAACTTAACACTTGGAAAAAATGGATGGTGATTATTGTTGCTGTACAAGATCCCAACACAGAATATGGAAAAAGATATACAATGTCATTTTGAAGGCCCTCATGAGCAAATCAACAGTGATGTCCTTTTATTTATTTATTTATTTATGTTATTATTATTATTATACTTTAAGTTCTAGGGTACATGTGCATAACGTGCAGGTTTGTTACATATGTATACTTGTGCCATGTTGGTGTGCTGCACCCATCAACTCGTCAGCACCCATCAACTCGTCATTTACATCAGGTATAACTCCCAATGAAATCCCACACCCCTCCCCCTCCCCATTGGGAACTGAACAGTGATGTCCTTTTACTTGCAAGGTTTAAAGTAATCATCTATATATATGCCTATTAAAAGATAAATGATTTCTATTATTATCTACTTGGGCTGGAACCAGAGACTCAAAGCAAAGGCCTATCCCTTGCCCAGAAAGACTGAGAGAAGGAGCAGCAGATTAGTTGATTTGACACAGGAAAGCAAAAAATCATGCCCAAGGAGATATTTTTACCTTTCTTCAACAGTTTTTATTATTGTCATCAAATGCCTCTACTTTTATAAACCTGAGCTTCTCAGCCCAACATTTATAGAAAATTGCCAAGTATCATTTGGAGATAAAAGCACAATTCAATATTCATGAATTGCTAATTTTCTATAAATATAGACATTTGGAGACTATCTTCTCACTAGTCATTAATATTTGAACAGAGATCAAAGCTATAACAATATTAACAATTCCTTGCATTTGTATAGGGTTTTATATAATACTATTAATGATAGATGCCATTTGTTGAGCACTTAGTAAGTCCCAGGCACTTTGCATGTAAATTCTCATAACAAATTCAGTTCATTTTAACAGGCATTCACTTAACACCTACTGTGTGATAGATGAATAGATTAATAATACTAGGTTTTTGTCTTTGAAGTCTTTCATTTTGTTGTACTCAATCAATGTTTATTGAATGAATAAATGAATGAATGAATTGGTTGAAAAGGTATTATGGGGTAACATAAATAACACAGGGCACTCTCTTACTCTTTATGGTCTTAATAAAGTACTTAACTTTTCCTTGCCTCAATTTTTTCATCTGTAATATACGGATATTTAAAAGTTCCATTGCAAAAATGTGGAAATAGTAACAACAAATATAAAGCATCTGACCCAGATGGCTTTGTAGTAAGTGGGGTAGTTATCATTACTAGTATTATTAATATTATTACTATTATTACAATTATTAACCAATCCTATCCAACTCCCCTCCTCCTCACTATAGCAATGATACAAATAGAACTTTAAAATACACACACACAAAACACAAAAACCATGCAAAGCAAGAGAAAGCTACTGAACTGTAGTTCCTAATGTCCTCCTAGGTTATTATACATAATCTATGCTTAGGCTAGGAAAAGAAAAGAACCAACTTTATTTACGTTTCCAAAGATACCAAGATAAAAGCCAAACAGGACAGCAAGCTTACCAAATAACTGACTGTCTTTTCTCATAGTTGAATGCTGATCATTCCAAGCATAGGACCATATTTCCAACATTCTCAAGAACAGTACCCAAAGAATGGCCATACAGAAACCCATCCTCATTCTTCTCAGTGACAGTAAGTCTGATCCCCCGCTGTACAGCAGATAAACTTGAGCTCTGGGTAAAATTTTCTTTTTTAAAATAATTACTTTTATTTTTGGGGGGGTCCATTAGTAGGTGCGTATACGTATGGGGTCTGGGACCAATTTTCTAACCAGGAAGGAGTCTCATTCTGTAGATCACTTACCATTTTGGTCTGCTGGTAGATTTCACCATAGGGGCCATTCCATCTCTATAGAGACTCTTGGTTTTACTGAAGTTAACAATGTTGAAAATGACCCTCTGAAAAAGAAAGAGGGAGAAGTTCATCTTAAAACTATGTAATACAAATTGCAACTTCCTGATAATTAAGACAGGAAAGAAGAAACAGGGTTAAAGGCAGCCATATGGACTAGCAGCCAATTGTATAGTGAGAATACACAGTGCTCATGAGAATGTAATGTGTTTGTGCCAGCTGAGCATAGTAATTATGCATTAGCTCTGGAACCTGGAAACTTGAATTTTAGTACCAACTCTACTGCTTTTGAGTTGTGTGGCCTTGCCAAGCTACTAAACATCTGTTTCAGTATCCTGATCTGAAAAATGGGAATAATAACAGTACCTACTTCATAGGACTCTGATGAGAATTAAATTAATATATGTACAGTATTTGGAACCATACTTGGTACATAATGAATGTCATATAAGTTTTAGTTACTATCAACTGTACCCTTTCTCTTGACTGACCTAGAATTTACATAGAAATAAATCATATTGTCATCAGGGTAATAGTAGTACATTTAAAGTTCAAAAACACTAAAAATAGTAACTAAGAACAAAATTGCAATTAAAAAATTCTACAACTACTTGAAACCCCTTTGACTAGAACTGGAGGATATATATCCTCTTCTGTACACTCTTTGTTATTTTCTTCTGGGGGTCGGGGTACTAGGCTCAACTCTAATCTTAGCATACGTTTATAGCGCCATAGGTACTTGGATAAATCTCTCCCCATCTCTGGGTCTTATCTTTAAAATGAGTGATTATGACATTCTAGATGCCTTTCCAAGAGGATAGTATAATTTTAAAGGATTGGATCTTTGTTTTAGCAAACAACTTTGTGGTAGGAGGGGAGGGAAGATTGTGAAAGAGAAGAGAAATGTGATAAAGAGACACTTGAAACCACTGAAATAGTCCAAAGGAGAGATGATGAGAGCTACAGGTAGAGCAGCCAGAATACCTCAAGAGAAGAAAAGATTTCAAGAGGTTACCACAGGCTATCCTTTCTATTCAGGGGCAGTGAAAAAACCAAAAACATAAAAATTCATGTATCATTTTATTCAACAAATATTTATTGTGTGAGGTATTATATAGTATCAAGTGACAGTAATTTTATATACTTTTTTAAACATTGGAAATATTCTCCTATAACTATAAAAAATAAATATGAACATCTTCATTTAATAAATGTAGAAACTATGGCTCAGAGAGGTTACCTAACTTGATTGAATTCATACTAGTAGATGACAGAATTGATATTTGAATTCAGGGGATAAACAGATAAGATGTCTATGATTTTTACTCTTGAGTTAATCACTAAGATTCCAAAATTCCATAAACCTAAACAAGTCTATTTTCCAGGGGCAAAAAATAAATTTAATGGTAATTATTCAAGTCCTTAAAATTTTGTTTTGTTAAAAAAGAGAAAATCAAAACTATTTCCTCTGACCTCATGTTTAGGACTATAATAAAATGCTTTGTCCCATGAAATAAGCTTTGAGGGATAACTTGTGTTTTCCTTTCTCCCAGAGACCCAGCCATTTACCCCATCTGTAGGCATTTTGGTTTCAGGCCTCTCTTCTGTCATTAAATTAAGTCATCGACAATGTCCAAGGCTGTTCCATTATTAATAACCTAGACCTGCCTTTTGTCAATTCAGTTACTTCACTCAGGGTCTTGGCTAGTATCTGATTTAAGAAAATCAATATTAAGGGGACAAATGGCCTTTGAACCTCAGAGGGCATAACCCCTCCCCGCCCCCCGCTTCTTTTTTCTGAGATTCCAGTTATCAGATCCATTTCCAGTGAACCTGGAAGCCATACTGCACTTTCAGGATCTAGATTATTGATAAATACAGAGAGAAAGCTAATAAAGCAATGATGTAAACATGTGAAGCTGGAATAAAGAAATGAGAAAGTGAAACATACACTGATCATTAACATCCTACTGTGTACCTAGGAAATTTCCCAGGTATTTTAAATATGCTATATTATTTTCTTAATCCATTTATAAATAAAAGTTGTTTATTTTAGCCCAGTTTTAGATGTGAGGAAATTGACACTTAAACAAAGTGGCTTGTCCTCCAAAAATTCCCAACCTATTGGTAGAGCTAGGACTTAAATCTTAGGTGTTTTGACCATAAAGATCATACCTTGTCTATAATATTACATGGGAACAGTAACACCATTTCTTACCATTCCCTGTTCAAGTATTTTTTATGTTTTCCAGCCATTTAGCAACATCACTTGTGGTAGAGAGATTCAAAAGTATATGAAAGCAGACAGTACAGGAAACACTGAATTTCCATATTTTATACTTAATCATTAGTTTTTACTCAAAATGAATAAGAAGATGTGGCATCCATAAGATAATGGTAACCACAACAATAATAATAACAATTTCTGAGCACACACTATGTACCATAATCTGAGTTAAGGACTTCATTCACATTAGAACAATGTTTTATATATTAGAATAACCTAGTTGTAAATTAGAATCACTCGTATAGGTTTTAAAATGACAGATGCTTGGGCCCCACCCCAGAGAGTGATATTTGATGCATTATCTCATTTGTTTTGAGGATAATGAACTTTTTGAGACAGGCACTATTTGTCACCGCTTATTTACAGATGAGGGAGTGGTAATGTGATTAAGCAAACTAAAACCATATAACTAATAAGTAGCAGAGCTAGTATTTAAACCAAGTCTGTTGCCTCAGAAGAATAAGATTATAGACTTTTTAGCCAGATACACTTGGGATTGAATCCCAGTTTCACGTTCTGTGAATTTAGGAAAGGTAATTCTTCTTCTCTTTTTTTTTTTTTTTTTTTTTTGGACATTGATTGTTTACATCCAAGATCGAGATGGTGACAGTATCCTACCACAGTTGTTTTAAGAATCTATAAGATTATATAAGTAAATCACCTGGCATATTGTATCTAGATCTAAACAGTTGTTCAGTATTTATTGAGCCTTTCCCTTCTCATCAATAAAGCCAGATCTTTGGGTACGTTACAATATCTATCTTTCTTTGGATTAAAAATTTAACCTGAGCTTCTTGTTTCAGTAATATGGTGCTCTATCAGAGCTCTGCAAATAGTGACCACAGTACACTGTTAGTCTAAGAGTAGGTATAACCTTCAAGGCAGTCATATGTGAGGAATGGAGTACAGCCCATCCTGACCAAGGGGCTTATGGTGCTACTGAAAATGTGCAAGTTCCATTTCAGGTATAGGCCAAAGAGTGGTCCAATGTGGGTAAAGGTATCATGAAAAGCCTGCGTGCAGTCCTAAAGAGAGGCCTTGATTCTCTGTCTTGTCATATATGCAATACTTTTGTCAAATCATAACTACATTTCCCATTTAATATTGTTCACGTTAGTTGCAGGGACTATTCTAATGGGATTACAACAAGCTAAAAAAAGCTTATGCACAGCAATGAAAACTATGAACAAAATGAAGAGACAACCTCCAGAATGGGAGAAAATATCTGTAGACTATCCATCCTACAAGGGATTAATAAACTGAATATATAAGGAACTCAAACAACTCGATAGCAAACAAAAAAAAAATTAAAAATGGGAAAAAGACATGAATAGACATTTCTCAAAAGAAGACATACAAATGGACAGTAGGTATATGAAAAAATTATCAACATCATTAATCATCAAAAAATGCAAATCAAAACCACAATGAGATATCATCTCACCACAATTAGAATGGCTATTACCAAAAAGACAAAAAATAAAATACGTTGGTGAGGATGTATAAAAAAAGGAACACTCATATATTGTTGGTAAGAATGGAAAGTAGTACAGGCATTACAGAACACTGTATGCAAGTTCCTCAAAATACTAAAAAAAGAACTGCCATGTGATCTAGAAATCCCACCACTGGGCATATATCCAAAGGAAAGGAAATCAGTACATCAAAGAGGTATCTGCACTCCCATATTTATTGCAACATTATTTACAATAGTCAAGATATGAAATCAACCTAAGTGTGGATCAATGGATGAATGGATAAAAAATGGAATATTATTCAAAAATACATACACAATAAAATGTTATTCAGAAAAGGAATTAAATCCTGTCATTTGCAGCAATGTGAATGAAACTGGAGGTCACAACATTAAGTGAAACAATCCGGGCATAGAAAGACAAATATTGCATATTTTCACTTAGACGTGGGAGCTAAAAAAGTAGATTTCATAGAGGTAGAGAATAGAATGCTGATTACCAGAGGCTGGTAAAGAAGTTGGAGGATTAAGAGAAGTTAATTAATGGGTACAAAAATACAGATGGATAGAAGGAATAAGTTTTAGTATTTGATAGTACAGTAGGAAAATCATAGTTAATGACAATTTGTTATATATTTCAAAATAGCTAGAATAGAATTACAATGTTCCCAACACAGTGAAAAGATAAATGAGGGAGAGGGCAAGATGGCCGACTAGACTCAAACAAGTGGAATGGCTCCCATGGAGGGACTAAGATGACTGGTAGGCTTAAAACAGATCTTCAGAGGGGGCACTGAGAGTGGATGGAGGAAAGACACAGAAGCTGGGCTGAAGGGGAAAAGAGCTGGGAACCCTGAGCAGGTTACCACACACAAGAACTAATTTTTTTTTTTTTTTTTTTTTTTTTGAGATGAAGTCTCATTCTGTTGCCAGACTGGAGAGCAGTGGCACGATCTCAGCTCACTGCAACCTCCACCTCCCGGGTTCAAGCAATTCTCCTGCCTCAGCCTCCTGAGTAGCTGGTATTACAGGTGTGTGCCACTACACTTCGCTAATTTTTGTATTTTTAGTAGAGACAAGGTTTCATCATGTTGGCCAGGATGGTCTCGATCTCTTGACCTCATGATCTGCCCACGTTGGCCTCCCAAAGTGCTGGAATTATAGGCATTGAGCCACTGCGACTGGCACAGAACTCATTTTTTGAACCACAACAGCTCTGGGGCAATGGAGTTGCCCACTTTCGCAACCAGCCTCTGGAACTCTGGCAGGAGGAGAACCCTCGACCA